TATATAGTATAGGGAGAGCGGGCTGCATGGTGCTGTGGTATGTACTTCATGTAGAGGAATCCTACATGTTGAGGCTGCCATTGCTGAGCACAGCCTGGAAATGCTTGCTGCGGTGAGGTCAGAGTGCCTGGTCTGTCCAGGGTCATAGACTATGCAATCTCTGTAGAAGATAGACAAGGTAGTCACAAGTAGGGATAGTGATGGCGTCCTGCTGTGTATGTGTTCTGTACTATTCTGTCCCAGCTTTATTAGGCAGCCCTAATTGTGCTCCATTGCCACAGAGGACCCATATTGTACCTTGGTATGGGGCCCTACGTGTACCCCATAGCTGCAGGGGCCCCTAGCTGTGCACAGGGAACTTCCAGTCTTGCCTCATAGTGCAGAAAACCCCTACTTGTACCCATAGCTGCAGGGGCTCCTAGCTGTGCACAGGGAACTTCCAGTCTCACCTCATGGCTGCAGAAACCCCTACTTGTTATCCCATAGCTGCAGGGGCCCCTAGCTGTGCACAGGGAACTTCCAGTCTTGCCTCATAGCGGCAGAAACCCCTACTTGTACCCCATAGCTGCAGGGACCCCTAGCTGTGCGCAGGGAACTTCCAGTCTTACCTCAAGGGCAGAAAAGGCCCCTACTTGTATCCCATAGCTGCAGGGGCCCCTAGCTGTGCTCAGGGAACTTCCAGTCTTACCTCATGGCTGCAGAAGACCCCTACTTGTACCCTATAGCTGCAGGGGCCCCTAGCTGTGCTCAGGGAACTTCCAGTCTTACCTCATAGCTGCAGAAGACCCCTACTTGTACCCCATACCCACAGAGGAGCAACTGCACTCCATAGCTGCAGGGGGGGCCCTTAATTGCACATTGTTAAAGCAGGGAAGTCCCTTAATTGTACCTTGTTGAGGCAGGGGCCCCCCTAGTTCCTTTTGAAGTAGGGTGCCCCTAGTTGCACCAGATAGCTTTGGGGGGACCCTATTTGCACCATCCCGAAGCAGCAGGCCCCCTAGTTCATTTTGAAGTAGAGAACCCCCTAGTTGCACCAGATAGCTTTAGGGGGCCCCCTTAATTTCACCTTGTTGAGGCAGGGGGCTCCTTGCACTTTGAGGCAAGGGACCCCCTTAATTGCACCTTGTGGAGGCAGGGGCCCCCTTCCCTTTGAAGAAGGGTGCCCCTAGTTGCACCAGATAGCTTTAGGGCGCCCCCTAGTTGCACTCTACTGATGCAGCAGGCCCCCTAGTTGTTCATTTTGAAGCAGGGAACTTCCTAGTTGCACCGGATAGCTTTAGGGGTCCCCTAGTTGTACCTTTTTGAGGCAGGGGGCCCCTTGTTGCACCAGATAGCTGCAGGGAATGTATAATTACACCCTAAAAGCTGTTGTAGCCCAGTGTCCCGCAACCCTTTGTATAGCAGTGGTGTTGGGCATTGTTCTGTACCCAGTGGAAGTCTCTCAGTAGCATTGAGTGCAGTGTTTCTTCTAATCTTCCTTTTCTGGTGATTAGAGCAGCAGACAGGGATATACTTGTATCCGTATTCACAGCAGGCATGTGGCAAGCTGTGTTTGCCATACAGGTCAATAAGTACTATCCTGCACAGATATTGGTTCCCTGAGTTAGATGCAGTCTGTGTAGACTGAGCTCCACCAAGCTGTGTAAGACCCCAGTATCAGGACACCCTGTGGCTTTCCAGTTTGTCTCTGCTGCCTGGGTTATTTAGTACTCCATAGCTGGAGAAGGCTTGTGCCCAACCACCCTTTTGAAAAGGTTGTGCACTCCATATGTCACATAGAACAAGATGATGGACAACAATCTACTTGCACTTTTATTTATTAAAGCAGAACGCCATGAATTTTTTTCTCCCATGCAGTGGGGCTGTGTCCGCACTGCATGGGTTAACAGCTCATTTTGTCTAGGGGTGCGCCGCAAGGCTATACTTACCTGATCCTTCAATCCTCTGGAAACCCACAATCTCCCACGTCCAGCGTTGGACTGTTTCTGCCGCTGTCACGTCAGGAGCACATCTGTGGGTATGATTACATCAGGATCAGTCAATCACAAGACCGCTAGTGCTCAGGGGGGCAGGAGAGGCAGGGACCTTTCTTGCACTAGGAGGATTAGGTAAGTGCACTCACCAGCCACTTTATTTGGTGCACCTGTTCAATTGCTTGGTAACACAAATTAATCAGCCAATCACATGGCAGCAATGCATTTAGGCATCTACACGTGGTGAAGAAGACTTGCTGAAGTTCAAACCGAGCATCAGAATGGGGAAGAAAGGGAATTTTAATGACTTAGAACATGGGATGGTTTTTGGTGCCAGACTGGCTGGTCCGTGTATTTCAAAAACAGCTGATCTACTGGGATTTTCATGCACAACCATCTCCTAGGGTTTACAGAGAATGGTCCAAAAAAGATAAAATCTCCATGAGTGGCAGTTGTGTGGATGAAAATGCCTTCTTGAGATCAGAAGAGAATGGGCAGACTGGTTGCTGTGACATTCTGCTGGGAAGGGCAGACTTGGGCGTAAACAATATGAGAGCATGGATCCATTCTGCCTTGTATCAACAATTCAGGTTGGTGGTGATGCTGTCATGGTGTGGGAAATATTTTCTTGGCACTAGCAAGGTGTAGCTAATAAAGTAGCTGGTGAGTGTATATCTCCACTCTGCAATCTCGTAGACAAAAAAATTAACCCATGCAGTCCTGGCACAGCCACACTGCATGGGAGAACATTTTTATACCCAGAGGTATTTTTTTTTTTTTTTTTTTTTAAAGTTTTTTTTATTTAAGTGCAGTAACCCACAGCAACCATGACCTGTCATTGTGTACTGGTCTGACTTCAGTGATATTGGTTTGGTTGCTATGAGCTACAGCACTTAAAGAAGAATTCCAGGTATGAATATTTGTGCTAATATTGCTGAAGTCCAAGGGCCACACGTATACTGAGGGCTGCAGTTGGGCATCAGGGCCTTAGATCATCTGGCCAAGAAGGACTCCAGTAAAACCTTGATGTTTTTTCTCTTCTGCACCATTAATTGATATAATATGTCTATACTTGCATGCTCTGTGCAGTGGCTTTACACAGAGCAGCTCCGATCCTCTTCTTTTTGGGTCCCTGCTGGCGCTCCTGGCTCCTCCCTCTCTCACAGTGCCCCCAGGGAAAGCTGTTCACCCTGGGGGCACCACTGCGTGCTCATCCCCAAGCCACTGGTCTATGCGTCCATAAGATAGTTGTGGGTTGGTCCTGCCCCCCGCTCTCTCCTCAATGACTCACTGGCTGTGATTGACAGTGGGATCCAATGGGCTCCCACTCCTGTCTCGGCCAATGAGGAGGAAGAGTCCCCAGACAGCAGAGGCTTGCGAGATCGGCGGGTAAGGACTGGGGGCTGCTACACACAGGGTTTGTTTTTTGTTTTTTTTAACTTCATGCATAGAATACAGGAAGGTACAATACCTTGTGCCTTTTAGGAGCCTTTAGAACCACATTTTAAGAAGAAATCTGGGTAAAAAAAAATGTTGTTCTCCCCATGCATGCAGTGGGGCTGTGCCTGCATTGCATGAGTTAGATGCTTGTTTTTGTCTAGGGGATTGTAAAGCTGAGATATACTTGCCTAATTCGCCAGTCCTCCAAGCAAAAGACCAGTCCCTGCCTCTCCTGCATTAACTCCCCCGCACAGGGGGTCTTGTGAAGGGGCTGTTCCTGACATCATCACGCCCATAGACTGGCTTCAGATATGAGGACGCCAGGAACAGTCCACCGCTGGATGTGGGGGTGTGTGGTTTTCCAGAGATTATTTGGAGGACGGGGAATGTATAGCTTTTCCCTGATCCTCTGGGCAAAGTGAGCAGTTATAACCCATGCAATATGAGCACAACCCCACTGCATGGGAAAATTAAAAAAAGAAAAAAAGCTGACTGAAGTTCTGCTTCGGTGGAATTAAAAAGGCATCAACTATATGTATTTTTTTAATAAGCTCCCAAGAGGTTTATGCCATAATGTGCTAGCATGCACTGCATATTGGCACATTTTGGCAGACTTGCATGTTAAAGGAAGCATTTCCCTGTCAGTGCTCCAGCTGGTCCTGGGTACCCACCATCTTCTCCTGGTCTTCCTCTCGTGTTCACTGTGTTTGGCTTGTGATCACGTCACTCCCGCAGATGTACACGGAAGTCACTTCATCGCAGTACCAGGTGGTGCTCTAAATGTACTCTGAGCTGTGCATGCATGGCTCAGTGTACAGCATGGCTGACAGGCAGGTAGAAGCATTTGAAACTACCATTTAAATTTCTTCCTGTCAGCTTTTTTTTTAATAAATTGTTTAAATCTGCTTTAAAAAGGCATTTTCAACACTTAAATCTACAACTTTCATTATAATATCTGGCATTGACAAAGACTGGAATTGCAGTCTCTGTTCATTTTAAAGTATGAAGCAAGAGCTTCTGTGTTCACCTGTGTTTTAAGCTCTATAGAATATATTTTAATTCATACAATACCTGTGTACTGTATATTTTGGTCATAGTATATAGAACAAGATAGGGATTGATTTAGGAAACTGCAAAATCTGGTGCAGCTATGCAGGGTTGCCAATCTGCTTGTTCAATTAAGTTTTGACAAAAAAACAAAACAAAACTGGAAGCTGATTAGTTTCTATGCAGAGCTGCACCAAATTTTGCACTCTACAGTTTTAGTAAATAAGCCCCGATGCCTCCATGTGTTCAATAATGCATGTCACTAAATAGATGTATACTCTTTGGTGTTGGGCAAACATGTTTATCACTAGATGGCAGCAGATATTTTTCTATTGGGAATACAGCTAGGAATATAAATTAAATAGGAAATGTATTTCTTCCCCATTGTAAAAATTATGTCTAAAGTTTGCCTTTAAATGTATTAACTTTTTTTTTTTTTTTATCCTCAGCTTTCTCCTTTTTTGATACGTGTAGCGTATAATCCTGGATCTACCGTGTATAGATGGAGTGTACCTCTCTGGACTGGAGCATGATTTCTACATGCTTGTGTCAGCAGAACTTGACCACTTTTTACAGCAGGGAAACCTTAAGGCGTAAGTGTGTTTAACACTCACACATCTGAAGCTTCTTGATGGACAACTGTCGCAAAAAGACGTTCTATTCTGATAACTGTATGCGGTTAATGCATGTCAAAATCGTATTCAGTAAAGTAATTCTTTTCCCATTTCGCATAATAAAGGACAGGCATTGATGAAATTAATTACAGAAATAATTCCTTGGAGTGGTTGTTTTCACTGATAGTGTGCTCTGTCCATAAACTTTCATTTGATGGAAGGAGCAGTAATCACTTTGCTATGTTAAGTCAAAAGCACAACCTTCTAGCAAAAAAAATACACTTTTCCCTAGTCTAACTCCCCCCCAATATAAAAAGCCAAATGTTTTTATCTTTTTTTCCTTTAGTGGTGTAATTAGGATTTACAAAGGAGGTTAAAATTGCTCTTTAATTGGCAACATAGATTCCCCTCTGCACACCTACAATTACAAATTGTATACAGAAACTGCAATCTATCTAAAAGCTATATCTTGTTTATTAAGAATGTTAACATTATGCAGATTAAAATAACAAATTTAAAAATGTTTATAGTTATATATATTTAAAAATGTTATATATATATATATATATATATATATATATATATATATATATATATTTGTCAGTGGTGGCAGCTTTGCAAAATGCCCATCATTCTGTCAGTAATAATACAAAAAAATAGAGTAACAGCTATAGGAAATGAGCTTTGGTGAACATTGTTGTTTGTTTTAAATTCTAGGTTTTTAACCTGTAAAAAAATAAGGCATTGAATAGGCTATGGGGGAGGAAAGCACAGATTCTTTGTCTGCAGGGAGTGAATCTTCATTTCCTATTTCCTCATCTATAGACTAAACAGGAATACCTGTATCCCAAGCAATTCTAGCTTAAGACTGAAAGTGTGTTCCTTTTTATATATGGAACATTTGAATACATGGATTCATCTCCAGCATTTAGCCGTTTTACAGACCAAATTTGTCTGAATATTAATTGGCTTCTTTGCCTATTGCCTTTCAGAGTTCTTTTGTTCCCGCCTGTCTCTAGCCGGCTGCGTTACCTTATCCACCGGCTCACAGAGCCTTATGGTGAACTTAGCAGCTTTTCCGTGGGTGAAGGGTGGCAGCGCCGCACTGTAATATGCTATGCAGAGATCAGGTGAGATAATTAATTGTATTTTTTCTAGATACGCCAATGCAGGAGGTGTTTAGATGTTCTCCTGTGTCCTTTGACATTAATGTACATGCATGTTTGGGCAGTCCAAGCTTCATTTTTGTCACTAAAAATAAAGTTAGTGGTTGTCCGATCATGCCACCAGTTCAGCTACCCTCGATCTGTATCGGACTATAGACTGCGCCTTGTTAGATTCTCAGTTGCTTCTTCCTTTACTGTCCATTAGACCAGTATATGAAGAATATAGATTTTCTGGGTTCTTTTTTGGATGGTTTGGAGGTGTCAGTTAGCATTTAAAAATCAGAAAAAATATAAGTTACGGAGTTGGTGATGGGTAAGGAGAAAAAAAATTTAATAGTTAGAGTTGTTGATGGGTATACATGAAGGTTGGAAAGTGGGAGGAGGTGACCATATTAAAATGGTTCTAAAGGCTTTTTAGGAGGGGAAAAAAACAAATGTTTTTAAGTCTTTACTTTGAACATTGTGCAACTACACTGGTTATTCCAAGACCACAATACAAGGCACGTAAGAATATCTCCCATATATAGTACTGATGCAGGGTCTCAAACTGGGAATTTCCCGCTGCACAATAACAAAGGGGTTTATAGCAACAAAACTGGAAATGTACATCAAATTACATTTCCTCATAAGGATTCTCCTGGTCCACATTTATAATTCACGAGACGCATACTGGTAATCTGTAGGGCTCAATACCTGTAGTCTGGAAACAACAGTGACACAAATATGCACATGCACAATGTGCAGGGTTTTTTAACAGTGTGAACGTCCTTGCTCCCATAAATGGAGAGAGCAAAGAAAAATATCAAAACGGGAGACTAAGGGATTTGATTTCCCAGATCTAAACGGGAATGTTGGGACATGAGTAACTCAAAACCAAAGAGAAAAAACATGCATAAAAAAAAGATTTATATTAACCTTTCTGTGCAATAGTATTGCCCAGAGTGGTTTCTTGCCCCCTCTTCTGAGGTCTCCCGCTGGTGCTCTCTACTCTTTTCCCAGTGCTTTACCCGGCAGCTGGAGCCAGTGGCTCCTGCTGTTCCCAGTGAAGCCTGTGGGAAGAGGGTGTAGAGAACCTGCAGCCGAGCACAGTGCTGGATCATTGGAGGACTGTTGAGGGTGTTTGGGGGGGGGGGGGGGGGTAAGGGGGGAGGTGTTATTTTAATGCAGAGAATGCAATAAGGTAAAAACAAACAAACAAAAAAAACAGACTTTAGAACCACTTCAAAGAAGAGCAGGTCAATGGGAGAGCATGGATTGTGGCAATTTATCTGATATTATATCAAATTGTAGAATTTTCTTTTGCATTATATTAAACCTCTGTATAGGTACTGTTCTTATCCGATGAAAAGAGCTGATAGTTTAAAAAGCTTATCCTAAAAATGAAGTCAACCAAAAAAAGGATGTTGAACATTCTTTGTGTAATGAGCAAAAACCGAATTTTAAAGTTTACAAAAATAAAAAAAGTGAAGTAGTAAGCACCTTTGCTGTAATGTAAAACATACCAGTTTCAATGTGTAGACATGTCTGCCTCTTTTAGAGTAACAGCGCTACATGCTGCATTTTCAGTTTTTCATTTTTACTGCTGCTGTACTTCATTTCCGCATGATGACTTCTCTTCCTGCAGTTTTACAGCATTGTGGTCCTGGAGGAAGACACTGGTCACTCGGTACCACCCCTCTTCCCTGGTGAATGATGTTGCTTCCCTCCTTTCCCATTCTTCTCATCTAACAGATTAGCATTTGTGGAATATTATTGCTTTGACTGCTGCTCCTTGTTTAGACTTTACAGCTTTTGTGATTTTGCAACACTGGCTACCCGGTTTTCTAAAATGTACATACAGTATTCTGAAACTGTAATTTTCTAAAGGTTTTCATGGGTTTCCCAATGTCATATCTGTAGGCTCCCACCATCTCAGAGTGAAGAATCCAGAAGCAATGCAGCAGATAAAAATTACAGCCGATTTTGGAGTGGCTCTTACAACAAAAAAGCACAGACTAGCAGAGGAAGGCAAAAGTGGAGGCAGAGAAATAATGCGAGACCAGACCGAGCACTGTATGGAGCCAAGGGGAAGCCATGGTGGAAAGTCAAAGAAGAACAGAGAATGAAGGAAAGAGAAGAGAGCCAGACTAAAGAACCAGAAGTTAGAGCATGTCACAGATATACATATCATAAGGGTCAACTAGTGCAAGTGACAAAGAAAGATAACATGAATGGACAGGGAAGCGTGGTGTTTGAGACGGGCAAAATAGAAGCTTTGGACATAGCAAAGGAGAGTTTGGTGGACCTTGAACCAGAACAGGGATCCCAGGGCAACAAGTTACCAAAGGGGAGACTGAGTAGTCAAGATGTGCCAGAAAAGATGGACCGAGACATGCCAGACGCACTGGATACAGTTGAGCACAACACAAAGGAGGAAGGGCAAAATGTGCCTGTTAGCGTCATAGCAAAACCTCAAGAAGCTGATGTCTCTTATGAACAAGAGAATCCAGAAACCACACGGAAGGACCACACAGAAGGAGGGCTGACCTCAAGTTGTCTGAATGAGCTGTCAAAGAGCCTAGAGGGTCTGGAGGTCGGTGAGGAGATACAGGAGAAGCAAGATGAGGATGAAATAAAAAATGCCTCAGGAGAGCTTAATAACCTAGCGAAGAGATCAGAAAACCAAAGAGTAGTAGAAAAGGAAGCGGAGAATGAAGAAAATCTAGAGAAGGTATGGCATGACCTGGAAGAGGAAAAAGTGAGTCCTGTGCCAGTGCAAAGATCTCAGGAAATGGATAAAGGCAATGTAGAAAAGACATTGGAGAGTCACATAGGATCATACAACAAAATGGAGGACTATGAAATGAGGACAGAAGATGTCAGAGGAAAAGATAACAATACATCAGTTATAGACTTAATTTATGATACAGGTGAATCTGAAAGAACTGAAGACTATAGTGCAGCTATCACAGAAACCGCTGTCTGTGGCAGAGTACCAGAAGAGGCAGTAACAGAATCCAAACCTGACAATAGATGCAGTCCTTCAGTAGAGCACAATGATGGAAATAATGAAAGTGTAACTGGCAATAACAAACTAGAAATACCTAGTGTTTTTGTGGAGATAGAAACAGCCAGTTTAGAATCTGCCTCAAATACTCTATTAGAAAATGTATACTGTGCTCCCAATGTAGATAGTGGCAGTAGTACCATTGATGAAAAAGTACAAGAAGTGTCTGGTAGTAATTTCACAGAGCCTACAATGCCTGAATCACATTTGACATCTGACAAAGCAGGGGAAGAAGACCAAAGTTTGAAAGAGCTTTCTAAAACTACTAGCAGCTGTATGCAGACAGAAGTGGAAAAGTCAGAAGGTAATGATGATCAGCAGAAGATGCTTGAGCAAATTATGACTGAGGTGAGTAGTGAAGCTTCTGGAAAGACTGAAGTGTGGCTGGCTATGAGGAACAGAGATGTGTATGCATCAGAGAAATGGGAATAAGATTTGAAGCGATTTCTAAAGGTGTGGTGTTTGTGTGTTGTGTGTGTGTTTTTTTTTTTTTTTTTTTTTTTTTTTTTTTTGTGTGAAATAAAAAAACATGTCTATATACTTACCTGCTGTGTTTAGTGGTTTTGCACAGAGCAGCCTGGATCCTCCTCTTCTCGGGTCCCGCACAGAGCAGCCTGGATCCTCCCTCCTTTTTGGTGCCTCCATAGCAAGCGGCTTGCTATGGGGGCACCTGCTACTCTGTGTGTCCTTTCACACATGGAGCTGCGCCTTGGCCCTGCCCTCTCTCTCCTCATTGGCTGACTGGCTGTGATTGGCAGGAGCCAATGGCTCCCGCTTGCTGTCTCAGCCAATGAGGCCATTCACATCACTGGATTGCGATGGGGCTCAGGTGAATATTGAGGGGGCTGGGGGGGGGGGATGCTGTACACAGGTTTTTTTTTTTTTTTTTTTTTTTTTTTTTTTACCTTCATACATATATTGCATGCAAGTGAAAAACCTTCATCCTTTACAACCACTTTAAATTATTTGAGGGTTATACACCCAGGCACGTATGTCAGTGGTTCTCAACCTGTGGGTCGTGACCCCTTTGGGGGTCGAACAACCCTTTCACAGGGGTCACCTAAGACCATTGTAAAACACATATTTCCGATGTGTAAAGAGCAACAACTGTATTGAAAGCAGCTACTCTTTTAAAAGCAGCTACTGTGTTGAAAGCAGCAGTATTGGAGGTAAAATGACACTTCGTGAATTATAATTACTGGGTAAATAATTTTATGGTTGGGGGGTCACCACAACATGAGGAACTGTATTCAAGGGTTGCGGCATTAGGAAGGTTGAGAACCACTGACGTATGCAGATCCAATAGTCCTAAAGCAATCAAGATTTTTTTTTTTCTCAACAATTGAGGAGCAATGGAGGTTGAGATACTGGCAAACGAAAAAAATATAAGCCATCTACCACATAATCCCTCCATTACCCAGCATGCCTTTTTTTTTTTTTTTTTTTTTTTTTTTTTCTTATCAGCCCTGCTGAAAAAAAAAATCTTAGTTTTTGCTAGCCTTTTAACTCTAGTATTTTTTTCCTTGGTGATTTCAGTCAAGATTCTTTAATACACTGCTGCTTGAGGTGGTCTCTACATATCAGCTACTTGGCACCTGGCTTTGGAGGCTGTATCAGGACCCCATTGGTCTGGAAGTGCATGGTTGGTTGGAATGTGACTTGCAGGCACAGGGCTCTGCATTCAGACTTGAATGTGCTCTGTTAGCAGTGTAAGGGCCCAGAGCCATTGCAATGCCTCTGAAGACTCACTTGGTGAGTAAAGCCAGCCACCTCTGAGTACATTTAAATTTCCTGCAGTAAGAATTTTAGGTTGATGGACTGAGTGCTGATGTTAAACTGATTCTAAGGCCTGGTTCACACCTAAATAAATAAATTTTTTCTTTTGGTGCTTTTTGCAAAAACGCTCTACAGTCCATTTAATGTGGTTTTCTATGGGACACATTCACATCCCTGCTTTTTTTGGAAAGGGTGGAATGTTTTTATTAAATGCAAAATGGTGCGTTTTTGGTTAAGCAGACTTAAATGGAGACACTGCAGAAAAGCATGTAGTGCATTGACTTTATTTTCCCAACAAATTGGACAAAAAAAGCATGAAAAACATGTCAAAAATGCAAAACGCACTGCAAAAAGGACCACAGAAACTGGCCAAAAGTAAACTTTGAACCAATGATAAATGTTATTTAAAAAAAAAAAAATCCCACAAACATATTACATATTTTATACTTGCATTAGCAAGCCTCTTGGATATTGTCCGCTCAGACACAAACCGCAGCTTGATTCTGCCCCCAGCTCTCTTCATTGGTTCACCTGGCTCCTGCTGCTGTGTGAGTCAATGAGGAAAGAGACCTGAATACATGGCCAGATCGAGATCGGGCTCAGGTAAATGTGAGTGGGGGCTGATTTATTATTTTTTTTTTTTTTTTTTTTACCCTAGTGCATAGAATGCATTATTCCAACCATCCACACAGCCGTGTCATTCATTCATAGTTTCCTGTGAATGAACTGCAGATACCATCAGCTGCCAGGGGGGTAGCTGCAGCAGTAACATGTTTCATGTTACACCCTGAATCAGGGGCAGACTGACAACTCATAGGGCCCCTGTGTCCTTGCCCAAACTCAAAAAAAGCCTATGAAAAAGGTACCAGGGGCATCTCATGGGGGCCCCCTACTGACCCCGGGCCCTCGGGCAATGCCCGAGTTTCCAAATGATCAGTCCGCCCCTGCCCTGAATACAGGTGTAACATGTTAGAAAAAGTGGGGTGTTAAGCTTTCTTGTTCCTTTTTAGCTTGGAGGAAGCCTCATCCTGTTGCTGCTACTCTTGAAGCACCACATGGATCTTTCCACTGCCTGCCTACTGTGACCTCCAGGTGCCTGAAACATGAGCACAAGCTGCCTGGGTTGGTGAGCACTTGAGGCTTTGCCTCACTTTGGGCCTAGGTGCTCAAATACTGTGTGGACACAACTTGTCTTAGCTAGGACACAGAGAACCTGCTGGTTAGAAGAGGGTTATAAGGATACAGACTTATGTTTTTTTTTCTGTTTGCCAGTGTCCCAACCACCAGCAGGTAGTGCTTATAACCCAGCTGTTTCTGAATTCCTGGGTCCCTCTATGAATGCTAAGAGAGATTTTACAGTAGATACAAAAAGCTGTTTTTTTTTGTTTGTTTTTTTTTTGTTTTGTTTTCCCCCCCCCCTCCCAGGATGACTACTCTACATTAGGGTGCACACTAGAAAAGGGGGTACCCCCACCCTTCTTAGATGAGCATGATTCTTTCTCATTGAGGCCAGCACATGTTCATTATTTCAGAGACTGCCATCACACCACATACAACAAGTGGTGAGGTTTTTATAACCTTTTACTACAAAAGATATGCGCTTGCTGAAAGCACATACAATTTAATAGGGCAAAAGAGAAGTGTATGAATGTTCTATTAAATGATATAAATGGCATTCTTAGTTGAATGTTGCCACCTAGTGGTAATTCAATGCTAGTTGGGGATGAATACAGCTGTATATGCCATTCTGAATATATGGCATGTCTTTGCTCAGTACTGTCTTTTTGATTTTTATTTCAGATCATTGCCCATGTAAGTGAGAAGAATGTGCACATCCAGCCTCTTTTGGCTGATTTCTCAGAATTTGCAGAAATTCAGGTGGATCATGGGAGATTTGGCCATATTATTGAGGTGTATGGCTTTTCCTCCACACTTGGCACTGAGGATCTGATGGAGCCATTTCAGAAATACAGGTAGAAAAACCCACTAAAGCATGCTAAAGGTTGTATTTCACTTACAACAGTAGTCTGTCTTTTAGGGACACTAATGGCCAGCTGAATACTCAAGAGACTAACAAGTGGTTTCAAGGGTGACCTCCAGGATTTCTTAGTATTTTGCCATTATGCAGTTTTGGCAATCAGGAAAACCATATGCAGTATAGTATGTGCTAAATGTGTTCGTAAAAAGTTAGTATCTGAGCAATTTTCATTTAAAAATGAAAAAAGGAAGAACCGTAGTCTTTGAACTAAACTTTTTTGACTCAAGGTTTGTTTCCCAAAAGAAGTATAGGACCCTACATATGGTCTGGTAATCCCAGCTGAACCTGCTGAAATGGACGCATGGATGGAATGTCCAAAATCTAAAGCCACACTTATGCCCATTAGAAGTGCTTTCAACCACCAGCTACAGATGCAAGATGACAAATGTAACCGGCCAACAAAGCTATATGCTGAATTTATTCTGCTTTTGTATCATGGGGTGACTTTTTTTTTTTTTTTCCTTCCTTTCGTAGAAGTAGCGGTTTGTATAATCCTCCAGTTTGCACACTAGTCACATGGTCTCTGCCAAAGTTGTTTTTGGGAACTGACCTTCAGGTAGAGCCAGGCAGTTCTGTCCTTGAACAGAGATCTATAGAAATCAAAGTGTAATATTTATTTTCACCAACATTGGAAAGCGTAAGAAGTGCAAATTCCAGGAAAATGAGAAGTATGGTTAGGAGATAATATATATATATTTCATATCATGTGATGTCTGGGGATGGGAACATGTTACACCCCTAATACAAAGTCCCCACCCTTTGCACAGCCATCAAGAACCCCCAAGTTCCATCTGCAATTGTGGCAGATGGATTTATAGTGCTGTAGCTGGAAGCTGAAATCCCTTCTAATGGGCACAGTAATCACCACACTTGTCCATTGACACTTCCTCTTTCCAGCTGAAAGCCTGTACAGAAATAGGGGCAGAAACCTGGAGGAAGAGTGTGCCCTGGACGGACTGGGCATGGAGGCAATTGCTTTGAGGGACTGTAAAAATGCCACACTGCAGCAGACATGGCACTATTTTTCTATTTTCGACTGCTGATCCTCATGAGGCTGCGAAGGAATTCGCTGCCACTTCTTCTTCCTTTCTTTTTTTTTTTTTTTTTTTTTTTTTTTTAGCAGCGAAAGCTAACTTGCCTGGGAGTTGGGTTGTATTTGCTGTTGCCTGTCCCATTGTCCTGTCACCACTGTCTTCGTATCTCCTCCCTCACTCTGCCTCCCATTTGTGTCTGCCCAACCCCACCCACATTCCAGCCCCCTGCATGCAATGAGTGCACTGTGCTCAGCCTGCCTGTGGAAGACCAGCCTGAGGGGGGAGGCATAATTGCTGAGTGAGCCCTCTGCACCCTGAACAAACCCCTTCTCTCCTCGCACCTCTTTTTTGCTTTGCCCCTTCTCTCGCCCCCACCCCTTTTTTTTTTTTTTTTTTTTTTTATTTCTACCACTTCAAGTCCAGACACTTTTACCCCCTTCCTGTTCAGGCCATTTTTCAGCTTTCAGCGCTATCACACTTTGACAATTGCGCAGTCATGCAACATTGTACCCATATGAATTTTTTTACCTTATTGAGACAGATAAAGCTTTATTTTGGTGGTATTTATTCAGCACTGGGATTTTTTTTTTTTTTGCTATATAAATGAAAGTCCAAAAATTTTGAAAAGTGTTTTTCTTATAAAATTTTGCAAATATTTCATCATAAATCTTGGCCAAAATGTATTCTGTTATCTTTTTAGTAAAAAAAAAACCAAATTAGTTTTATAACCAAAAATTAAAAAAAAAAAAACAAATTAGTTTTATAACCAAAAATTCTAATTTTTAAAAATTTTTACTTTTTTATTTTAAATTTTTTTTACATACTGTCAAGCTAGTATTAGTGTCACCACCATAGTGACACTGTACTAATTGTGGAGGGTGATAAAGATTTTTTTTTTTTTTTCCCAACACCCATAAAGGCTGTAAAAGCAATAATTTCTCCTTCTCTCTGGCTGCAAGAATGCAGCCATTGAGAAATACTGTGTGAGCTGTGATTGGTCACAGCTTGTTACATGGTACAAGGCTGTTGTGAATAGCCTTGTACCATGTGACCTCTGTGATCATTCACAGATTTCACATGTAGTAAGCAATGATGTCAGAAGTGACATCCTGCTTACTACTCCATGTGATCACTGATTGGCCAATCAGTGATCACATGATCAGGACCTCGCACAGAGGTCCTGTGCGATCGGTGTTCCACTGTGTCCGGAGGACACGGGGCACTGGATCGCGGTGCTGCACGCTCCCAGGAAGCGCACACAAGCAGGGGTTGGGGAGGCCGTTTATAAACTGCCACCTGCCCCTGCACTGCCACCGTCCAGCCGTTTACAACGGCCGGACAGGAGGTGGTTAAATTATTTAAAGCGACAAATTTATATTAAATACAATCCATCAGATTCATTAATACACAAAAATGCACACATTCAAAAATACAATAGCTTTTTAATGTATACAATGTGATTCTCCATTAATGCATCATTACATAATCCCCTCTATCTCTATTTCTCCTTTTCCCTCTTGCAAACTAGGGGAAGGGGGGATTTTGCACACTGGGGGGCGAGGGGTTGAATTGTGAAAGAACTAGGGCCGGCTACACAGACTCCTGTACTGCATACAATATACACTTTATTGCACATTACAGACTCCAGTGCTTTATACACTATATTGTACATTACACACTCCTCCTGCACTATATTGTACATTATGCACTGCTGCACTTTTATACACTATATTGTACTTTACACGCTCCTGCACTATATAGACTATATTGTACTTTACATTTGTCTGACTAAAAGCGTTTGTTGTCTCAACACTTGCTGGTAGTTAAGCAGTCCATGACTACTCTAGTGAAGGTGTTACTAAACCCAGGACCCTGCATTCACTATATCTGGTCTCCCACAGTACACACTACATAGAAATGCAAATATTTTAGTAAATATAAAGTGATAAATACCTTTTCTCATCAGCAGTAAGAGTGGTCTCGTGAATTCTATCAGTGTCCAGCAGAGCACATGTTAAACTTGTAGGAGGAGTTTTTTTTTCTGCTCTAGGAGGATGCAGAACCCCTGACCTGTTTGGACAGTGCTGGTTGGCCCTTTGCTGATCACATTCACTCTCCCAAGAAAAAAACCTCTCTAGCAATACACACTAAACTGAGCATGTGGAGAGTGTCTCTACACCACATCTTATCAGGAGATAAGAGGGAGACACTGGAAGAAGGGGAGGTTTAGAGAAGTAAGGATCAAACAGAATTTTTAGACAATGCAGAAGATTAACCCTTTAGATTCCACAGTGAGTATAACAAGCGTGCTTTACTGCATATACAGACTGATTTTACTGTTGTGTGTTTTGAAACTTTTAAGGTCGCTCAGACAGTGTCAACTCTTCTGTCCTTATTCGGTGTACACAAATTCATACGTAATGGAAGAGTTTTAAAAAAAAAAAAAAAAAAAAAAAAAAAAGATTGTGCTGAGATTTATACATATCTGCAAGACTCTTGCTTGTGGCACGTGCAATAAGGATTTTGGTTTAGTTAAGCACACTCCTTTAAGCTCCTCCCACTGTCAATGCAATTTGGCGCAGTGTGCGTAGCCGTATTACTTTTGTATTCAAAGTTCCCAAACATACCTCAAGTCTTTTACAATCATACTTGCACATCCAGCCTCAATGAAAACCATGCCCACTCTTTCCACAGTGCATTAAATAATCACTGTTTTGTGTTTTTTTTTTTTTTTCTCCTGTCGTGAGGAGTTAAAACTCTCCGCTAGTGTCCTACCAAGTGGAGGATGAGAGGAGAGTGCAGGCTGCCCCCACCCCCTTCAGGGCATGGATGGCATATGCCGTTTCTGTGCAGAGGACGGATGCCCTGCCAGCCAGTTCAGGATTCCAGAGTCAGTGCAGCAGGTGGTGTCCAGGCAGACATGCACGGTGAACAGAGTACCTGGAGCAGCTTCAGTCTGGGATGAGAGTCGGGAGAATTCAGGGAACAGGCAGAGCAGGAGGGGGGCTGAGTTCATGCACCATGAGCCTCTGGGTTGTACTTGCCCCCCCGGGCCAAAAGTTGCCAGTCAGCCCCTGCAAGAGCCTGACGTTACACCCGCAATCCACTGGTCATGGGTGCATTGCTTTGCAGGCTCCTGTGGAAAAGAATAAAAGTTGCACGTTATTTTTCTTGCAACAAATAAGTGTTGGTTTTTTTTTTTTTTTTTTCCTCTTTAGCGGTGAACTTCAATTAAATTCAGGCAAATATTAAGCATTTTAATCCGGCTTTTGATTTATCAATGTTTATGTATAGCTAACATTACCTAAATTTGTCATTATACTAACTTTTCCAGGGGGTGACTTGGCCACGTGGAGCATGCTTTTGCCAAGAGTAAGGCATCAAGACTGTTGTATAAAACTGAGACATTTCACGATGCAATCTTTTCCTGTCATGTTCTGCTCGTTGTTGGGAGTATGTAGGGGTTATGGTTCTAAGGTAGTTTTTGTTTTGTTTGCAGAGACAGCGGTTTCCACCTGCAGTGGGTTGATCAGTCGCATGCCCTGGGAATATTTTCTAGTCCCAAGAAGGGTAAGATGTGGCTGTGATGTCAGCTTTGTGGAATGTGGTATGCTGGGAGAAGGTTGTTCAGATGCGTGGATTTCTTTGCCTTTTCACAACATGCCTCAGTGCATAGTACTGCATGCTGTAACGCAATGAATATTATGAATGGAGCCTTCGTAATGAGCAGATCAGCACCAAAAAAAAAAAAAAAAAATGGCCAAACCAAGGGCACTCAATAAATGAGTTTGGACACATGTACCTGTAGATCCAAGCGTACTGATTCTTTTGATCCAGATTTCACCTTCCTTCCTCTCTTGATAATGGGTGGCAGTCGGCAAAGGGCAATCTCCCTAAACAATGGAACACTTAAGTCTCAGAGGCTCTTGCCCTTCTTTAATCCATCCAAAGCATTTTTTTTTTTTTTCTTTCATAATACAGGAACCTGAGATTACAGATCTGTCAGATCTTTTGGCTAATATTTCCACTCCCCACTTAAGGCTTATTTACAGGGGTGCTGTGGCCTGTACAGTGTGAATAAGTATTTTTGTTAATGCACCTGGACCTGCACGAAGGCAGCCCATACTTTTGTATGAGGCCTAGGTGAATGCTAGTGGCCCTTCTGGTCATTTGCAAAAATCAAGTGCATTGATGGTCATGTGAGGACTACAGATGAGTCATAGGACATGATCTGAAGGGTAACCCTACTTGTAATCTAAGAGAAAATTACCAAATATATGCTTTCCAGATCGTCTAAGGACAGGTTTGCAAACTCTGATTTGTAGGTCCATGCCGCCCCCCCCGGCATTTTGATGCACACAGTATATATCGGTGTTTAGGAAAGTTTTGGCCTTTGTGCCTTCAACAAATCTGACTTTTTCCAAAATAAAGTAGTGAGGCAAATCTTGCAGTTACAAAAGGCTTAGCCCAGTATTAGTAAAACAGAATGGTAACCATATGTTACATTTCAGGAGAGCGGTCTTCTATCCTTAGATGTGGCATGTCAGATCTGAGAACATTAGAGTGCACTCCTAAACAGATTTACATTCTATTTCCTAATAAAACTATCATCTTAAGCACGGATTACTGTAAAATTAATTATGGGATACTTCACTGCAAAAATGGCGCTTGTTACAACATCTGCTGTGATTATCTGTTGTTGGTTTTGCCTTTCCATTTTGACTGTTGCTCCCTTTTTTTCCTTATAGCATATGCTGCTTCCTGCAAGACTCACCCTGCTATGAAGTTCCGCCCCTTGTCTCAGGGCAGCCGTCAATCCAAAATATTGGCCTATGAAAAAACGGGTAAAGCTGCATTTTGACATTAAATATTGCCTATAAATTTTCTAACTGGGCCTTAAAGTAACTAAAGGCAACACCTCCTCCTCCTCCCCCTTTTTTTTTTTTTTTTTGTTGGTTTGCTTGAATAGAATAAGGGAGGGTTATAACCCCTGCCAGACACAATCACTTGATGCTCTTGAAAAATGAATTTCCATCTGATCAATTTTATATGTAAAGAAACCACACAGATTGAATTGGGGGAGAAATGTTCCTCCCCAAACTGTTCTTGTTTTGATCAGGTATTGAGTGAGTTAGGTCAAATTGCAATAATTTCAGCATCTCAAAACATTACTGCAAATGACAGTGAGCTCCAATTTAATCCCCCTACTACAGCAATGGGCAAACTACGGCCCGCGGGCCGTATACGGCCCGGCGGACCTTTTAATTCGGCCCGCAGAGCGTGATACATTGGCTGTCAGGATGTGTGTAGGCGGGGCAGCGTGACGAACGTGAGGGGAGCTAGGCTCCTCTCACAGTCCGCCCTGAAGACCGGAACGGCGCGGGAACACGGCGAGAGGAACGCGCGGAGCAAAGGTAAGTGAATTGACACGGGGACTTGGCTTACTACTTGGGGGGGAATAGTACTGTGGGGGATGAATTACTATAGGGGGGATGAATTACTATGGGGGATGAATTACTATATGGGGGATTAATTACTATGCTTACTATGGGGGAATATTACTATACTTACTATGGATGACACATACACATCATTCATCTACTCTTGGTCCGGCCCCCGGGTCCAATATATGAACCCATTGCGGCCCTCAAGTCAAAAAGTTTGCCCACCCCTGCCCTACTACCTTCTTCTAAAAGGGGGGGAAGAAAGTTTTTTTTTTTTTTTTTTTTTTTTTTTTTTTTTTTTTTTAAACTTGGTTCAGAAGAAAAGACTTAAAGTAAAACTAAAGACTCCAGTATGACAAAGTAAACAAGTGCCAAATCCTATTACCGTGGGATGCACAAGCCTCCTAAAGTGAATAAAAAAAAATGTACTTCATCTTCCCTGACTTAAATCCTTCCTCACATACTCCCCCCCCTCCCAGACACTGCATCTCACAGTGGGGGAGTTTCAGCAACAGGTCAATCCAGAAAGCAGTGGGCAGGACTATGTGTGGCCAGGTGCTGAGTGGTAAGCTGCTTGTGACTCGAGAGTGACCATGCTTATAGCTGCAACATCTTCCCATCCACTGTAGTACAAGCAAGCAGAGAGTGGTAACTCTGAATTCAGGTGCAGTGCAGCATCATTGCCACCCATTACAGGAAGCTGCATTAGATGGACTTCACTGGCAGGATCAATAGTATTTCTATGACTTTGCGGTGGAAGCAGTACAATCCCTTTTAAGTGTAGTGTAGTTTGTAACATGGTACAAATTCCCCCCCCCCCCCGCCCACATGCAGGGACTCTTCTCCCCCACAGTAGCTATCATTTTTTAAAATCTGACTCACAGAGCTGTGTCATTTTATTCATAGATCTGTGAATGAACTAGAAGTCCTGTCTGCTGTATTTCTCAATGGAATATGAGTGCGGTGATCACCACACTCGTAGTCCATTGACACTTCCTCCAGCTGAAAGCCCATACCTTGGTACAAACAGAGGGCTGAAAAAAAAAGTCTGCATGAGCCTGTTACTGCTCCCGTGATCCACTGATTGTGGATGCAATACCTTGCAGGCTGCTGTGCAAAGAAAAAAAGCACTTCTTTAATGTGGAAAATGACATTTCCAATATGATTGCATGCAAAAAATGCATTAATGTGCAATTTGAGTCTTAGACACATTGAGGTAAATTCATTAACGGAGTTGAAAATATGTTCACAAAAGTTTTGTGTGAAGATTCACTTCAATTCTATTACCCATGCAGGTACAGATTAAACAATGGTATCATTTGTGGTGTTCTGCTGCTTTCAGGTGATTCGACATTTTGCAAAACAAAGCTGTAAGGACAGTTCGGTATAACTCTCTCCCAGAATCTGTTTTTTAGTTATCTGTTCTCCTAGGAAACTAGGAACACAAGTCTTCCCTCCTTATTTGTGCCCTTCGGCTCTTATGCTTGTACTTTCTGTGGAAGCTGTACACTTGCACCTGGATTGGTTTCTCAAATGTGTGGATGGTTCTGGGCTCTCTGCTGACTTACAAATAATCTAAGAAGGGAAGAGAGTTAATGCCACCTGTTATCAGTTTGTTGGTTTGCCTCCCTGCTTCTTGGTTGCAGGTTTTAATAGCTTGGCTATTGAAGGCCACGTTTTAAGGGACAGTGGCTTATTAGATTCAGTCATCCCTAAGCTCTTGAAAGCTAGGAAGTTGACTTTTCACAAAGTCTACCATAATGCATTGAAAACCTACTTCCTTTGGTGCGAGATAAGGAAATTCAATCCCAGGACATTATCAGAGGGACAAATCCTGTCTTTTCTCCAGTGTGGTCTCTATCAGCATTTGGTGTTAAATACCATCTAGGGTCAAATCTTATCCTTAGCGACCACTTGCTGCACTCCTTGGTGAAGACCATAGTGTGAGCAACACCCCATACAACCTCAAATCTACATTCCTTAAGACTCTGGGGGCTCTCAACCTGGTATATTCCTTTGTCTATTCTTACTCATTAGGTTATCTTTGTTATAGTCCCTTCTGAGAGGCAAGTTGCTTTGTTCTGCACAAGAACAAGGTTGTTTTGAGGTTCAGGGCCTCTTTTCATCCCAAAGTGGTTTCTTCATTTCACCTTAAAGTGCGACTAAAGTCTAGTTTGTAAAAAGTGCTGATAGGCAGGGTTTTTTTTTTTTTGTTTTTTTTTTTTTTTTTAGAACAGAAGAGACCCTAATGGTGTCTGCTGTCATAAATGCCTTCGCCTGCCTGACAGCACTAATATAATCTGGGCCGCACATGTGCAGCTCACACCACATTTACAGCACCTGCTGTGTGCCTTGGTGATGTGACTCCAGTGCACATGCTTAGGAGTGACATCGTTGCCCACCTATTAAATTGACTGAAGAAAGTGAATCTGATGGGAAGACCGGGCAATGATGTAAGCACCCAGGACAAGTGGGAGATGTGACAGTGCAGCACTGGAGGGCTTTGTTTGTCTGGTGGCCTTTCTATGTGGATTTGACTGCTCATTCGGGGGGGGGGGGGGAGGAATGTATGACCTTTTACCCCTTGCGTGCCCTTGGATCACTTGGTGCATCTTTTGGCTTTTCTGTACCAGGCATTTGTTTTTCAGATGTGCAAGGCTACCACCAGGTCTCTGTTATTACTTTTAAGTTCTACCAGGTGGATGTTCAGGTATCGGCTGATGCTTGCCTCAGTCATAAGTTGTGGTGTGTGTGTGTGGGGTTTTTTTTTTTTTTTTTTCCCCCACTTCCCTTCCATAGGACGTACCTGAGCGTCCTTGGATGAGAAGGGTGAAAGAGATCATAATTTTTTAAGTACTGGTGATTCTGCACAGTGTACAAGTAATCAGAGTGGCTAAAGAGATTATTTTTACAGGTGGCGGAAGGGGGGTGCCCCCAATGCCTTTACCGGGCTCTCCCATGCGATCTGGGAGCCTGGTGATGATGCATCCTGTTGACCCACAATAGGAAGAACTGAGGAGGGAGGAAACCTCCCCCTTCCTTTTTTGCTTTTTTGAGATCTAGATCGATTGGGTAGATAATATTGCTCAGCATAAATGAGTACAGCCCTTTTTTAAAAGTAAGATTTTAATCAATATCTCAATGAACACGATTTCAAAAATGTAGTCAAAACTGAGTTTTATAGAACATTTTGAATCATTACATGAAAGTAATGTTAATAATATAACTCAGATTACAAAATCTTCAGTTTTACTCAAATTAGTTGATGCAAAAATGAAAACGAACGAACAAGTAAGCAACATATCTATCCTTTTTCCATTCAAGAACGACCTCTTTTAGAGTCCAGATGCTGGATGGAGAGTGATGCTCCACTTTTCTCTTCAGAATTCCCCATAGGTGTTCGATTGGGTACAGATCAGGAGACATACTTGGCCACTGAATTACTTTCACCTTGCTCTTCAGAAATTTAACAGTGACCTTAGATGTGTGTTTTGGATCTATCATGTTGGAAAAGTGCACGATGACCAAGAGCATGGAGTTGATGGTAGCATCTTCTTTCAATATAGAGCACCAGCAGGACTTGTGCAGCCCCACAAAAGGACACTGCCACCACCATGTTTCACTGTAGGCACATGCATTTTTCTTTGTTCTCCTCACCTTTTGCGACGCCATACAGCTTTTTTGAAGCCATCAGTTCCAAAAACATTTATCTTGGTCTCATCACTACAAAGTCCCAGCAGTTGTCGTCTTTTTCAGCATGAGCCGTGGCAAATTGTAGGTGGGATTTTTTTTTTGTGTGTGGGCTTTAGGAGAGGCTTCCCTCATGGACGATACCCATGCATGCCATTCCTCTGCAGTGTACGCCGTATTGTTTCAAAGGAAACAATCACCCTAGTTTGGCTTTCTGCTTTAGCTAACTGCAGTGAACTTGCATTCCCAATTCAGTGTTCACTGACCACACACTCAGTTGCATCTTATTTGAAAAGGTTTGCCACTTTGCCACTAAGTGCCAACCCCCCCCCCCCCCCCCATTCCATGTTCCATTGATGCCGTTGGACTTTAAATTGGTTTTCTTAGTTCTCTGCAACCTCCTCTTGAGAGGAGATCTTCCCTTGCTTACTTTCTCTCAGGAGGCTGTCACCCTTGTCGCTGTCACTTCTACTCTGCAGGAGTTGGCCTTGGCTGCTTGTTCTGTATACCTCCATATCTAAATTGGCACATTGTTGAGGTGGTTCTTTGTCTGCCCCCTCCTTTTCCTCTGTAGGTGGTGGCGGATTTCTCTCCGAAATGAGGCCATTGTTTTCCTTTCCTTTTGCCATCAACCTTCGCATCCTGTGTAGGTGGCTTGCCCCTCTTGGATGTAAAAAATGTGGTCTGTGTGTATTTGTCCGTAAAGAATC